TTTCGTTGCATTCATTTCCGAGGAAAGAACTACAGCCAGCTCTATACAAAGCGTGGAAAAATCGCATAAACTGGAAAAATTTTAATCCCAATCATCGCCATGTGGTTTGTACTCTACACTTTAATGAAAATGACTTTGAACATAGTTTAAAGACGACTTTATTGCCTAATGAGAAGATAAAGATGAGATTGAAGAAGAATAATATTCCGACTCTCTTTTTATCCAATAAAGGTGCTACAAAGGAAAGTATATTAAGAATTTCCACGTATCTTCGTGAAACCCTTGCAGCATGTAAGCGAATTAGGTCTTTCAGGGTTTTTGTCAATTTTTCCTTTTTCCTCGTCGTTTTTTAATTTCTAGTTTTTTTTTAGAATATTTTGGTTCAAAACCAAAAGCCATTATTATTGAAGAAAAAATTTATCTTATTTTAAATTAAAAAACCTATTTAAACTTGAACGCAAAAACAATACGATAATCTCGATATATTATTATGCAGCAAGCATGAGCAAACGCGCGCACAATGCCGGCCGGCGGACTCAGCTGTGGTTCTGACGTCACAGTGCTGGGAGTAGCAACTTCATACCACGATATCTTCGCAACGGTTGGTCCTAGCCTAGTGCGGTTTGAAAATTTGTTCTTAGATTTTTTTTTTCAAAACTTTTATTTTTGGGTCACACCCCCTTTAATGGCCGGATGATGAATGTATCCCGGAAAAAAATCGGCAAACATGGAACATTGCAATGGCGGGTTATTCAAATAATATGACATGGCCATCATTATTTCAGTATATTACACCCCTGCTTACTTAAATGCTTAGTCAATTTCATAAGTAGTAGGTTTCCTGATGACCCTGCTAGATAATTTGACTTCAATAGCTTTTATACATCAACCTGATCAACAGGGTGCTTCAACAGGTATTTTATCAGTACCTAGTTGACTGCATTCATGCTTGGGTTATTGATTGATACGGCCATTTGCACCGCTATAGCTTAAGGGATATTTATTCCAAGTAGAGCTTTGAATGTAACTCTTGTAGAAACAAAAGTCACATTCAAAGCTCCACTTATATTAAATATCCTTTAAGTGATAGCCGTGCAAATGGCCATGATTGATTGATTGATTTGATCAACGGCAGCAAAGCAAGGTTTAGTGATTCCCTGACACTGCAGCTAGTTAGCTTATTGTATACATTGTACGGTGACCGGTTAGAATACCCGTCACAATTCTGATCTGGTTCCTCGCTTTAGGATCTCAGATGCTAATCTTGTTATAGGATAGTTTACCGTGATGTTGCCTGTGGTGTTGCCTCGGTATTTGAAACCAGTGGTTTTTGTGTTCCTTTCGAATCCACTTGTCCAAGCTGGCACGTATCGAGGTTTTTGATATTCCGAATACGGGTTCAGGGCCCATAAACTAGCCTTCTGATCCTTGCATGGCTAAGGAGTCCGCGTTTTCATTGCCAACAACGCCCGTGTACCCCGGCACCCACGCAAGAGTTGCCTTGTTATGGCTGGCTAGGGATAAAAGGAGTTGCAGGCAGTCCCACACTAATTTAGAGTTATCTGTTGGCAGAGCTTTAATAGCTGCTTGGCTGTCAGAGAAGTTCGTGATATCCTTATGGACATATTCCTTTCGCAGATTTTCCCGCAGGCATATCTCTATTGCATCTATTTTGACTTGGAATACGGTGGTGTGTTTCCCCAGTGGAGAATAGCATTTTGATCTTGGAGATAGGCCATATACTCCGACACCGGTTCCACTGTCGGTTTTGGAACCATCAGTGTACCATACTAACTTACCATTCTGGACTAGAGAGTTTTCTGTTTTGTTTTCCCAGTTAATCTGGGTTAAAAATTGTTTGTGAGTATTTATTCTCGGGGTCATGATGTCACTTCTCATCTCCAATACGGAGTTTATAACAATGTTTGATATCCTGCTATATCTGGATGTTCTACTCGGATTCCAGTTCTGGTTACAATTGAGTCTGTAAGCCCCCATTCTTCCCTCAGCTTTGATAATAATATCAATTGGCGGAAGGCTTAGTATCGTTTTCATAGCAGCAGTTGGAGAGCTTCTCATTGTACCCATTATGCAGAGACAAGCCAGTCTTTGAGGTTTGGATAGATCCATTATTGCTTTTTTTTGAAATAGTAGTCCATGTCTCACAGTGAAGAGAATAGTTAAAGAACTGGAGTAAAACACAGAGTCTATCTTCACTCTTTATTTTACAAAAATAATCAGTTGGAAGGGGGGTTGTACATGTTTCGGATCTATCATAGATCCATCATCAGCATAAGTTCAAATGGCATAGGGAAAATATGGTCATATACGACATGCCTAAGTATAATAATTATACATAAAAATATAAGTGTGCATGCTGTTATCAGCATGACCAGGTCCCACAGTAGGGGGGATAGGACCCTACCCTGTGGGCAGCCTTTTGATACCGACATCTCCATTGTATCATTATTTAGATTAGCCTTAACTTGTCTTCCACGAAGCCTGTTATCAATCCATCTGCTAATGGTGTGTGTGACTCCGTGTCTGGAGAAAGCAGTGTTCATAGATTCAATTGAGGTATGGTCAGAGGCCCCTTCTATGTCGAGGAATGCTGCGGCTACCTCCTTTTTATCATTCGCGCGCTCTCTTCTTGCCGCCAGTTGGTGTAGGCGCGTTTCGCAAGATTTACCCAATTGATAGGCATGTTGGTTTTGGTGTAGTGGCTTATCTCCAAGAAAAGTTTTCCTGACATGTTTATCAATGAGTTTTTCAATCGTCTTCCAGCAGGAACGTGCAATATATTGGTTCATTTAGCCGAGAGGGCAGGTTCAACCAGATGGTCATGGACGATTCCTGCCCAAATGTTTACTCCAAACTTCTCTTGTAACAGATGTGTCGAACTAGCGTTTGGGTTTTTTTCTGCCCAAACGTGACTGATATGGCAGTTAAAAGTACTTTCGCGAGTAAATGGTGCTTCATCAGTGAACATAATAAGAGAGGGTCAAGCGCTGTATGTTATTTAATCGAGGTGGGTAGTCTGCTGGAGTGGGGCCATGTAGTCTTTGTCGATAGAAACAATGAACCAATTTCTCCTTTAAAGCTTTCCAAAAACACGTTGGTTTGGTATCCCCATTACGTGCTCCAGAGCCCGAGAAATTATGGAGGGATTTCGCTTAAACTACGCCAAGACTCTTCTTCTCTAGCCTGGCTGATGTACGAACTGTGCATCCCCTTCACCTCCCCGAAAACCTTCAGGAAATGAAACATACAATACTTGCATGGTGCGAGAGTGGATATATGACAATAAATGCCCACAAAATAAATGTAGCGCTCTTTGCTTGACCATCTGATTCCTCTTAACCTACGAGAGATGGTGGTACCCTTTGCAAACGTAGTCAAAGATCTAGGAATTACTTTAAATAAAAGACTCACCTGGAACATCCATTTGGCAAAAATAAAACAGAAAGCTAACTTATCACTATGTATGGATCTGCCGCAGGATCTGTGGCAAATCATGGGAAATATACTAGTTATATATCATGGTCATCAGACCAATGATAACACAGGGCTCAGTAGTCTGGTGGAAAAAGTGGCAAGAGCGCACTGCCCGAACTGAGCCCAAACTACCTGTCAGCACTATGCAGGCTTTCAACACTAGGCTGTACGCTAACAGCAGCTATAGGATGTGAAGTGCCCAAACGAGGCGAAGCCCAAAAAACAACCTACAGAATGTACTACACGAACAGAGATCAAGTGGATGACAAAGGGAACGTGGAAGGCACCTAATTGCTGGAGTTTTTCGCACCGAACAGCGGTTTGGGAATGCCTACCGACCTTATTCCAAGAACACACACAAGAAGCTATCCTACACAGTGGCCTTCCCAAAAAGGGAAGAGTGGGTGCAAAATGAGCATGCCCTCCTAAAAGATCTGTCTGTTCACGGATAGATCGTAGACAGACAGTGAGGGGAGCGGGCGATTATGATACAGAACTGAAAACTACTAACTAGGTTATCCATCAGTCTAGAGAACAATGCAACTTTCTTTCAAGCGGAAGTGACAGGCCATTGAAATGAGTATGAGGAGGCTGTTATGAGTTACCTTAATTTCTATTTCATTTGATAAGTATTTTATAAAAAAATACACGCAGAGCAAATAAAACTTCTGATTTATCAAAAATCGAAAATTTAATTCGAATATATTTGGCCCAAATATATTCCACATGCAGTTAAACGAATACACTGGTTGCCAACGTCAAAATCTTGAAAACACGAAGCCGAAACTCGCTACCCTTGGTTTTTTTTCACTGGTTAAAATTCTTTTCCGGCTCCGTTTCATTGTAGATAACAATTGTTTCAGTTAACTTTCGTAAAACAATATTTTTAATACGGAATATCTTGATCTTATATCTTTATCAACTGGTTCTTTCACCATGTTTGACCATACTATATCCACTAGTTTATATGTTCCCTCTCAATTGCCAAAATACCTCTTGCGATTTGATCAGACGCGAGAATTACTCAGTCAGCATAATTCCAATTTTGCACAAATACCGAAATAGGGGTTTGGGCAATCGGTAATAATTTAGCTTCGCACTGTTCTCGTACTGTGTATTTATTTTGACGAATAGCCACATTTGGCATGAGAGTTTAACATAACAACGTTTGAATAATTTAAGCTCTATCTTCAACGATTTTTCTAGAGACCGCAATATGCTAAAGATATAAATTTCTAACCTGACTCATATTGCGAACTTTCCTAGTTGGCTTCATAGTTTCTTAAAGTTTTAGTTTAGAAAACTTGGTGCAAGCAAATCATGATTCATTGTACTTTGTATTTTGAGTTTGTTTTAACTACATAATATAGGTAGGTAATTAAGGAAAAATCGATTTACAACATAATGGGATTTTTTTGCCAGATAACCTAGATTAAATTATAATTATTTGAACTGTTTTCGTTTAACAAATTAAATACTAATTTTTATTTGTGTGTTTATTCCAGAACATGGTAGTTCAAACTTTGACCGATTTTTGGCATTGTTAGGAGATAAAATTAGATTAAAAGGCTGGGACAAATATAGAGGAGGATTGGATGCGAAAGGTAAAAACCACATTCTGTGTTGCCAAATGTTTCGTCACTTTTTTTTTTAGGTGATATGACGGGAAAGTACTCGATATACACCGTATACGAAGGTCATGAAATTATGTTTCACGTATCCACATTGTTGCCATACTCTCGTGACAATCGCCAACAAGTTGAAAGAAAAAGACATATCGGCAATGACATAGTTAACATAGTTTTTATTGATTTGGAACAGGAAGACGAAAATGAAGTTGCTCATGCACAATTTAATCCTACTTGTATAAAGTCACAATTTACTCGTATCCTTTTATTATGAAATGTGTCACATTTAAAAATTCTACAAAAACTAGTATTTTTAAAAATTCAATATTTTCTGAGTTTAGTATAGCGTTTCTTTTATACACGGCAGTAAAGCTGAATGTAGCCTCATAATGTCTTGCGTTATCCATGTGCCGAATGATTTACTTTATTGTGATGCAGCGGTGTGAAAGCTTGCATCTGGAATTTTATATCAAAAGCGCCGGTTTTTGAAACGATAAAGCTTTAACATTATAAGCAAAGAGGATTTTTATTTTCAAATAAATTTCATCGCATTTCTCAATGGGTTATAAAATAAAGAATTAAAAAACATAATTTGTGATGCACTGGTAGTAAAAACATTATTTATTTTAGCGTGAAATGAAAAATTTAATTGAATAACAGGTCAGCCGTAATAAATACAAAAAAAAAAGAATCAATTTAGGTTTTTAATTAACAATACGTTTCAACATTAATTACTTACTCTACGATTCTTTCCAAGTTTCGTTACAGGGGGCACACGAACAAATTTTATATGAGCAGATTGAAACTGAACGCTTTAATAATACTGATTGCTTGGATTTTCTGATCCGATCTATTGCTCCTGATTTTTTCAAGAAATTCCCTTCGTCGTACGCTATGCTGGTGAAGCGTTATTCAATTCCTTTCAGTTATTCGGTCTCGATGGAAATGCGCGACTTGGCCTTGATACGCTTCAACAATATGAAATGCAAGACTGCTAGGTTTCCTCGGCCAGTTCCAACTGCTCAGAATCATGGATCATTGAGATGTGACCAATCTTCCCTTGGAGCCTCCACTCATAGCGGTCCCACCTCCTACCCAACGTTTGATCTTTCGGTAGATACCAATTACGGAGCCCTTCGGACGTCTCCGTATTCATCCAGCATGTCTCTGTGTCGGTTACAGATATTCAAGTTTCAAGCTGGTATTTTACTGTTTGGGAAGAAATCCTCTCTTGTAATAAGTAAATTAGGTTTATCTTTTTCCTATCAAAAATTCAGTGAGTAGGCTGACGTGAGATCGTAATGCAGCTTCCGATCGTCTCAATCTCTCTAGTCTATAGCTGTGACGATATAATCATTTATAACTTGGATTGGATTTCTTTACTTTCCTAGCCATACTGACCAGACCTGATAGGTCGAAACGCGTCTATGGATGGAATAGCAGAGGAATTTAATCCAAAATTTTCATAATCATTTATTCCACCAGCAGCAGTAGGCTGATTAAAACGAGTTTTCTTGTAGCCTTTGAAGGAGAACCGAGGGCATTCTGAATATCTAGCAGGGTGTCAGAGCCCTGAGCATTTGGTGCAAATTGCATGGCTCCCGGTCTCCGCGGTTGCGGAAACCAAACTACTGGCATTTGACATGTCTTTCCCTGTGAACTTCACGCACGACTCAGAGGACGGAAACCTGTGGCAGAATGTCTGCTATCTGTAGCAGTGTTGAGATCGGCCAATTCGATTTGTTTGTTTAAGTACATTTAGTCCGGGGGCCGAGGACCTTTTTTCCAAATCATTAATAACAAGCTAGTTTTTTCAATGCAGCTTCATTTCACCGAGACGCCCAACTTTTTTCTCTTCGAAAATTGCGAAAACAGGTAGCTAACATACTGCGCAGGTGTAAAACATGTCGATTTGGTGACTATGAAAATTTAATTAATAACAGTTAATTTTTCAGCTAAATGTTGAGATAATTTTATGAATAATTTGAAACAACATTTGTCCGACAAAATAAAGGGTTTGGTCTACGATGTCCCCCCCCTCAAACATGTAGCAATTACGTTGCATAAAAAATGATTAATAACAAGTTGATTTTTTCAATGTAGGTTGGTAAATATTATTACAATTAAATGGTCACACTGTCCTACAAATAAACAGGTAGCTATTTTCAGTCCTACACTCAAAAGTTGTCGATTTCACGATTTAACTTTTTTCATTAATAACCGGCTAAATCTTCGTGAGTATCTTCATTTTGATAAGACGCCCAAATTTTCTGTTGCGAAAATTCCAAAAACAGGTAGCTAACAGAGTGCGCAGGTAGAAAACATGTCTATTTGGTGATCATACAAATGTAAATAATACCAGTTAATTTTGTAGCTGAATGTTGAGATAGTTTCATAAATAATATGAAACAACATTTGTCCGACAAAATAAATGGTTTGATCTAGGCCGTCTTCCTTCTCAAACCTGTAGCAGATACGTTACATAAAAAATGATTTATAACCAGTTGATTTTTTCAATATAGCTTAGTAAATATTACTACAATTAAATGGTTACACTGTCCTACAAATAAAGAGGTACATTTCTCCAGTCCTACACTCAAAATTTGTCGACTTCACGGTAATACTTTATTCATCAATCCCCGGACACCGGCGTAATCTTCTCGAGCATCTTCGTATTGATAATACGCCTAACTTTTCTATTGCGAAAAGTTGCAAAAGTAGTAGCTACTAGAGTGAGCACTAGTGAGCACATGTAAAATACCTTGATTAGGTGATTATGCAAATGTAATTATTAACAGTTAACAGTTAATTTTTCAGGTGAATAATGAGATAATTTTATAAATAATTCGAAATTCGATTTGAGCCACAAAATAAATGGTTTGGTCTGCAGTGTCCCCTTTCTCAAAAATGAAGCAATTACTGGCTCATAAAAAACGATTTATAACCAGTTGATTTTTTTACTGTAGTTTGGTAAATATAACTACAATTGAATGGTCACATTGTCCTAAAGAGGTAAGATTTCTCAGCCCTACATTCGAGAATTTCGAAAATAGGCTTATGCATATTATACGTAAATATGTACATGTTACCTCTTTAGGACAATGTGACCATTCAATTGTAGTTATATTTACCAAACTACAGTAAAAAAATCAACTGGTTATAAATCGTTTTCTATGAGCCAGTAATTGCTACATTTTTGAGAAAGGGCTCACTGAAGACCAAAACATTTATTTTGTGGCTCAAATCGAATTTCGAATTATTTATAAAATTATCTCATTATTCACCTGAAAAATTAACTGTTAACTGTTAATAATTACATTTGCATAATCACCTAATCAAGGTATTTTACATGTGCTCACTAGTGCTTACTCTAGTAGCTACTACTTTTGCAACTTTTCGCAATAGAAAAGTTAGGCGTATTATCAATACGAAGATGCTCGAGAAGATTAAGCCGGTGTCCGGTGATTGATGAATAAAGTATTACCGTGAAGTCGACAACTTTTGAGTGTAGGACTGGAGAAATGTACCTCTTTATTTGTAGGACAGTGTAACCATTTAATTGTAGTAATATTTACTAAGCTACATTGAAAAAATCAACTGGTTATAAATAATTTTTTATGTAACGTATCTGCTACAGGTTTGAGAAGGGAGACAGCCTAGATCAAACCATTTATTTTGTCGGACAAATGTTTGTTTCATATTATTTATGAAACTATCTCAACATTCAGCTACAAAATTAACTGTTATTATTTACATTTGTATGATCACCAAATAGACATGTTTTCTACCTGCGCACTCTGTTAGCTACCTGTTTTTGGAATTTTCGCAACAGAAAATTTGGGCGTCTTATCAAAATGAAGATACTCACGAAGATTTAGCCGGTTATTATTGAAAAAAGTTAAATCGTGAAATCGACAACTTTTGAGTGTAGGACTGAAAATAGCTACCTGTTTATTTGTAGGACAGTGTGACCATTTAATTGTTATAATATTTACCAACCTACATTGAAAAAATCAACTTGTTATTAATCATTTTTTATGCAACGTAATTGCTACATGTTTGAGGGGGGGACATCGTAGACCAAACCCTTTATTTTGTCGGACCAATGTTGTTTCAAATTATTCAGAAAATTATCTCAACATTTAGCTGAAAAACTAACTGTTATTAATTAAATTTTCATAGTCACCAAATCGACATGTTTTACACCTGCGCAGTATGTTAGCTACCTGTTTTCGCAATTTTCGAAGAGAAAAAAGTTGGGCGTCTCGGTGAAATGAAGCTGCATTGAAAAAACTAACTTGTTATTAATGATTTGGAAAAAAGGTCCTCGGCCCCCGGACTAATTCAGCTTCCAGATCTTCTGACCTTCGCCTTGACGATGAGGAAGAACAGAGGCATGAGACTTCATCTGGTAACTAGTTTCTAAGTATTTTTGTTGGCGTTTAATTATTATAATTACTATTCAACACAGTAAATCCATAACGAACTAATAACTAGCTATACTGATAGTTTCTACCCTAGTTTTAAGTGAAGTGATACCAGAACACCTTCAAACATTTCATCCTTAACGCATATTCCTACAGATATCTTTGCAGTGGTAAGCGTCAACTCACAAGGTCATTATCGCTTATCAGTATTTTCTGATGAGGCAGTACCGTTATTCGGACCCAGTTTGCCTTGTCCGCCGGTCATAACCGATCCATATTTGTTTAGAGAATTTTTACTGGTCAAGCTGATCAATGGAGAAAAAGCTACCTTTGAAACGCCTACGTTTGCCAGGAAGAGACAAAGAACTTTGGAAATGTTGATTAAGGATTTACATTCGGAGCACGTGACTGATACCAGACAGGTAGGTACTTGACTTTTAAAGATTTTTTTGTGATAACTGATGAATAATAGCAAAATTACAGTGCATTTGCATCTGCAAATTTGCAGATCTGACTTTTTTTTATCGCGGAGGTTCTGAAATTGATTGTATTGTGTATATTGTAACTCCTTTGGTTAACAAATTAACAAGAGGCCCATAATATACTCAGTGTGCTCAGCGAATAATTATTAGGGATGGATCAATAGTTTAATTAGTACAGAATGATAAGGGCACAACTGAATTTATAAAAAAATAGATAATTAAATTACATAAAATATTGAAGTGTGAAAATTCAGAAACACACCTAAAGAAAAAAAACAACAAACGGTAATTAATCATTCTGAAAAGGAAATAAATAAGGCATATAACTCAACCAAATCTTGACATAGGTAAAACCAATAAAACAATTAGCTAAGTTTCAAATTAAATTAGTATATATTTTCACAGTGAGGTTAAAAAACAAATATTGAATAATTTCAAAGTATAAAATCAATTGCTGGTAAAACACTTTAAATAAAATCAATAAATAGAGGTTAACTCTCAATCAGTTTCATCAAATTCAAAAAAATAATAATAATAAAATTACAATGTAAGTATCTCAATATACTTGCCACATAAATTCATTAACAGTCGCTGGCCATATCATTACCATGAAATGAAAATATAAAGATTTAGGTTTCCAGAAAACTAATTAAAAAATAAATAATAAATGATTGAAAATTGTATTGATAAATATGGTCAGCTTTTGCTTAAAGAATAAATTCAATAAAATCAACTTGCACCTGTATGAAATCGAAAGTTGGGTTAAATGGTCAGGAGATATAATAGAAATCCTCAAATATATGTTATAGGACCAAGGGTTAAAGATTGATCAATTTTCGACGATGTAGGTACTTACTCAATAATTTTAAATTTAGAGCATGTTGTCCAACCTTGACTTATGTTCAGATTACTGATTGATTATCATTGATAAAATATAAGTACATTTTTTAAATATGGCGGTACTGAAAGTTAAGTAGAAATAGAATCTATAGTAAATGCGGTAAATCAAAAATCGGAAATAGTTATTTAAAGTTCACTTAGGTGTCAAGAATATGAAATTTAAATTTCAGATATTTGAATGTCATCAAGTCTACGGCAATGATGGCGATTTTCAGCCCAGGATCGACCTTTCAGATCGAACAACAAAATTTAAAGGGGCTGAGAAACGAAACGGACAAGATGAGCAGACAACGCTACCCCTCAAAAAATAGCCAACTAAAAGCGTTCGTACTAAACTGGTACATCTTTAAACGAAAATCGTGCCCTCTATTTTTATAATTACTAATATTATTAGCAGCAGAAACCTTTTTTTTATGCTAGTCACCAGACTGTCAACATTAAGAGTACCTAATATAAAATTAAATTTGCAAGAAAAAAAAACAAGTAATATTTGCAACGTTACAATGTAGGTAAAAAAGTAAGGCATTCTCGCCTTGCCCGAGATTATTGAGGAGTACCTTCCTCGCATTACTTCTTTGCGGTACCTATAACGGTAGAACGCTAGAACTTAAAAAATATAATTGAACATGTGCATGTAAGGAAAAAAAAAAGAGAAGCACTTCATCAAAAATATATTTTTATCAATCGAATAAAATAGGTAAAGAGTCTCTACTAGAGAAGCACTCATCAAAATGACCCTTCGTTTTTTCACCACGAACCGAAGAGAGAAGTGTCGTCCAAGTATTTTTCATATTTTATCAGCCCGAGAAAACTACTGAACCCTAAACCCAAAAATGGGGGTCACGTCATAATTGCTTAAAAACTTGAATAAAAAGGATGAGTCGCCAGGGACAGTAGTCCGATTTATTGAGGGTTACTGCCAAGGTCTAGAATTGTCCGTCTTGTAGGTGGCTGCTGGTAAGGAAATGCTCACATGCTAAAGAAATCGAATCCCTAGGCAGACAGTCTTGAAGTGCTATTTTATTATGTAAAGTAGAGTGGATCTATTATAAAGAAAATCTATAATTTTTAGTTAGGAAAGTAAACCAAAAATTGCACTGCAACAAATATTGTCTTTTAACGTGGCGCTTATCCAAACAATCCTGTGCTGAGATGTTTCTAAAGCAAATATTTGCTCTCTTGAACTTAAAGTGTCGAGACGACGGAGAATGTCGTAACGCGTCGTTTACCTAAATAATCTTGAGTCCTCAGCAACTCAGCGCTGCGACGTGGAGAATGTTTTAATTTAAATTTTGGAACAACAATTTATTTGTATTTTGTGATTGCGCAAATCTTCAAACAAGATAGGTTAGTTGAGAAAGTTCAATATATAAAATACTAAATTGCAATATAGTTTTGAATCTGGAAGTATAGGCCAGACGGCAAGTAATAACTCAAAGGGGTAGCTGGAAAGTATTCCGGAGTTAATTGTATTTTGGCATGTCGTTTGTGGATAGTCTGTGCTGTGGAGTAGAATCTAAGTTTTCGACCTCGAGGACCCTGTGCTAACTTGGGGGGAAGTTGATAGACCTAGAAATTTTCGAACTTTTTCAATTTTTTGCTTAGTTATAACTTCTAAACCATGCGTTTTTAGCAGAAAACACTTATTTATAAAGTTGAAGAAAATTAAATTTCCTTCAAATTCAACTGGTCAAAAGTATATTAATACAATAGTAACCAAGATACAGTGGTTCAAACACACACTTGTCGAAAATGCCTTCCCGTCCGAACATAATTCAAACCAAGCATGGGCTAATAGTTATTTGTTTTACTAGGCAGTTAAAAGTTCACTTTTTCAGGCAGTAAAAATGCACCTTCTGGAGCTGTCAAATATCATTAAAAAGTCGCGTTTACTGTCATTCGGAGAAAAATATCTTTTTTTGATTTTCAAGTCATCCGTGCTGAGCTCGCCTATCTATCTGACAGGTATCGATAGCTGAACGGGCCTGGGCTTAGTAGTAGGTACACGTCAAATTCCTACTCACTGTTCGTGTTTAGTTTTATCGTGTATTGTTTTCGTGGTAGTGCCGAGTTGATATGGCATCTTCAATAATATTAGAATGGTGTTTCATATGCGAGGAAAGTTTGGCGGAACGTGAAGCGGTTGTGGTTAAAAAAAAAAAGAATTGATACGCTTCTTATTGCCAGCAGTTTGAAGCGGAAAAAGCCTGAACATCAACGGTTACTCGAAGGAGTGGAAAAAATTTAAATTCACACATGTCAAAAAAATTACAATAACGATAAATTGATTTTAGCCTACTTGCGCCGTGAGCGTGACACCCCTACTACTGCCTCCAAACCACCGCGCTCAGGTACATCATTATCATATAATGCGATGAAGAGGTTACTGAGGAGTACAGACAAAAACAATTATTTTAGAGGATATCAGGTCTCAAATGTTTAACACTGAAGCTTGCCCCCAATTGATAATTTTAATGGTGATTCTCATCTTGTTATTCCGGAGACACTGCTTCTTCTTCTTCATACCATCATTTTGACAAATAAGCGAGGTTCACTGGAATCGTGGAAGAAAAAATGTCTTGCTGTGGCACAGGCCATTATGCTAGGCGTCCGACCAAAATTATTTTTGTCACCCATTATGATTGGGGTTGAAACGTATGTTTACAAGGGGTTTGGATCGAAACTTCTTGTAAACCTCCTAGCAAAGTTAGGATTTTCAGCTACCTATGATGAAGCTTCTAGACTTGAGGGTCCTTATGTGCTGCAGGCGGAGAATGCTATAGTTGATGAGTCAGCCAATCCATTCAGCCAGTTCATTTTCGACAACGCCGACTTCAATATAAACACGCTAGATGGAAAAGGCACATTCCACGCCATGGGAGGAATAATGGCCGTCACCCCACGAAATGCTGTGACCAGTGAGGCAAATGTAGTTTGCATGAAAGTCACTCCAACAGCAGACTTAATTGGCAAAGCTCGCACTGTTGAAGTTAAGCAGTATCACCGACCACCCAATAGAGGATTGAAAACTGTAAAATTGTTTGACATCAGCTCTGTACGCACATTGTACCTTCTGCCTTCGATATTGCCTGGCTGTATGGGAAAAACACGCTCTCATTATCAGTACCCGATTGGAATGGATTCATGGAATTGAAGAAATATGAAGATAAATGCTTCAAGATTGTGTGCCTCCCTTTCAACAATGCACCTCCAAGTGATTACTCTACAGTGTATACACTGCTTTTGAAGAATGTAAGCAAATTAACCAGAAAACCTATGTTGTCACATTTGACCAACCATTGTGTTGGACGGCTCGTGATGTGGTTGCCTCCATTCCAGAGTTCAGTAATGTTCTCCTAATATCATTCATGGGTGCCAAGGGAACGATTATGGCAGGGAGCGGTTTAAAAGAGCTGTTTTACAAGATTTTTGCAGCATACAGTGTTGATAAGATACTGTCTGGATATGCCTACGCCAGGGCTGTACGTGCACATAGGCTTGCTTACGCCGCTTTGGGTGGTCTGATATTTGATGTTTTGGGATTGATAGAAGAAGAGTTGTTTGCACTGGACAAAGTTATCGATTCTTTTCAATAGTCCAATATAGATTTTAAGCATCCAGCATTTCATGCGGTGAGAGTTAAATTCTCGAAAGTGCTGAATGAAATTGAGGACTGCGACATTATGGATCCGCCTATGTACCCTAATGAAAAATTTCATCAGAGCTGAACGTACGGGTGACTGAAACCTCCACCTCGACTCAGTCAGAGGCTGCGGACACTTAAATTACGCCAAGAGTTCGCACTTGTACTACCAGGATATGATCACCTTAAAAGAGAAAATAGATTCTCAAGAATATGAAAAGTTTACCACTAAGGGATACTTCACTATTCGCAGAACCGACATAGGCATCTGGTCAGATATGACCATAGAACAGGTTCTCATGCGAGCTATGAAGAGCTATGGCGGGCTGACTCGTGGTCGTGGTGTCAGTGATAGTGTGCTTTCTCGATGGATTGTGGGTATATGTCTCCAAAGTGTCAATGAGCAAATGGAACTGTTTGCTGGACTACGCTCAGAGACTACTGAGCAGCACGTGGATATGAGGCCTTCCCGTGTAACCAGGGATAATATCGACATCAAAAAACTTAGTGATTGGTTGGTTGAACCTTTCCTGAATACAAAAGAGCTATTCTCAATAAGCGCAGGAGCTGTTGCTCCTGAAGTTGTAAACTGCCATTTAGCTCGAACTATTGGTATCACCCGTTCGAAGACCTGTTTGGAAAAAGGGAATTTTCAAGACATGAAATTGTTGTGTGAAAATTAAAGACAAAAAGTTCACAATAGATCCTTTCACTCTCTTTCAACGGATTTGCATAATAAAACAATCAGATGATGACCTTAGAAACTTTTTGGAATACGAGCTAGTCCCTTGCCCGGTATCTCTCTACACAGAGAGAGGCATGCACAAGAGCACAAAGTCAATGTTGTATGCGGCATTCACTCCTATACAAAAACCAATAGACTTCGGCAGCAGCAAATACGCAGTTATTGATGGTGGGTTGGTGGGTACCTTCTACATAAGGTTGTGTGGAGCAAATCAAGAGATACGACATTTGAATTGGTGTGCCAGAATTACGTGGATTATGTTCAGAGGCACTTCGGGAGCAATGCTATACTATAGTGGTTTTTAATGGGTATCCTGTTGGCATAAGTTATCAAAGCAGTAGCACGATATCGACGATCTTTGCTGCACTCCTCGTCAAAGTTTGTGTTTTACAAAACATCAAAAAAAAATTCTCTTTAACGATACCAACAAAAAAAACTTCATCACAATGCTGATTACTGAAATAGAATCTAAGGGAATTCAGGTGAGGCAGGCAACAGCAGATGCCGATGTCATGATAGTGGAAACTGCTACATCAAAATCTGCCGACTTTGATAGTGTCATCATAACAGGAGAAGACATCGACCTTCTGGTTCTACTGACAGCATCAGCTTTCTCTAAGCAGAACATTTATTTCCAGAAGATTAAGAGAGGTAACACGTCCAGTGTTTTGTTTTCATCCCATTCCTGCAAAGTCAACACTCAGGATGTTCTCTTTCTACACGCAGTAAATGGATGTGACACTACTTCAGCACTCTTCGGAATTGGAAAGAAGAAGATAAAGCAAGTTTATTAGAAAAACCCTTGGCTCTCAGGAATATTTGGTGTTTTCAAAGATCCTGACGCAACACCACACCAAATTACTGAAGCTGGGGAGAAGTTCCTAGTGAAATTGTACGGTGGTTACTCAGACGCAGATAATTTGGAGGATCTGCAGTACCGAGCATTCTCATCAAACATTTTGGCAAACTTGAAATTTCAACTTGCCAGATTGCCACCTACAAGAGATGCCGCCAAATTCCACTTCTATAGGACATACCTGCAAGTACAAACATGGCTGGGAATGAAAAAAATCCCACAAAAGTTACCATCTGCTTGGGGCTGGAGCCTGATTAATCGAGGTTACTATATATAAGTATCTATTTTAATATTTAGATTTTCTCAAAATATACATATTTATTTATTTATTTGGTTCGTATATTTACAGGTGTGATCCACATTACCGCGACTATGTATGCTGGTCCAGACCACATGCTAAAAATTATTCGCTCCAAATGTACTTCAGGATGTAGCACGGGGGCCTGCAACTGCAAAAAAACAGGACTCCGGTGTTCTACCAAAGGGACCGCATGTGAAAATTCACCAGAAACATAGCTTAAAGAAGAAGACACTGACGCTGAGTGCAAAGAACAGGCCAACATCTTGGACGAAGCTATAGCTCAAGAGGAAAAGGACGATGGTGATACCGTGATACCGACGAAGACATGCCATCTGCACTGAAGAGGTTAAGAAGCACAGACGTCTAACATTTATTTTTAAGGTTATGATTTTTAATGTATGCTATAAGGTGCAAGTTATGACTAGATTTAAATTTTTTAGACGTTCGCAAAATTTAAGTTCTAGGACAAAGCCTGCATTTCTATGCTCTTTTTGATAATCTGGGAAATTACTTGAATTTTTGAACCACTATATCTCCATAACTATTGGATCGAATACTTTTGGCCAGTGAGATTTAAAGGAAATTTAAAGCTCGTCAAATTTAATGAGAAGTTAAAAGCAAAAAACTGGAATCCGAAAATTTCGAGGTTTTAGTTGCGAGTAACGCGGAAAATAATTCAGGTGCACAGAAGACATATATCGTCTCTGGGTGCACGTGAAAGAAATGAGGATAAAATATGTTTATTCCATGCTTGGTTTGAGCTGTGGTCGACCACTGTATCTCGGTTACTAGTACTATTGAGTTAAATAATACGTTTGACTAGTGAAATTTGAAGTAAATTTGATGTTGCTCAACTTTACAACTAGGTGTATTCCGCTAGAACGCATGGTTCAGAAAATATAAGCAAAAAACTGAAAAAGTCCGAAAATATCGTGGTTTTTCGACTCCTCCCAAGCTAGCGCAAGGTCTCGAGTTCGAAAACTCAAATTTTACTCCACAGACAACCCAAAAATGACATATTCATACCAAAATATCATTAACTTCGGAATACAAGTACTTGCCTGCTGGACTAGTACCAGAATATTCAAAACAATACAACATGGTAATTATGTCGCGCATTAAATTTGTTCACAGACTATGTTAAATCGACGTGCCTTCTCCGACGTATTAGCAGAAACACCACGACATTCAAGACTCAAAGAAGACTCCAGACAAATTGAATTTGTACGAATTGGTCAGGCACTGAAATTGGAAGCTATTGTCAGGGGTGATGCACCGACAAGGTAATGCGGTATTGCATTTTTTCTCAGTAACAAAATTTTCTTTTCTTCTTAGTTTGGCCAGTACAGGTGCGGCAGGAACTGTTTTCAAGAGATCGCCGTGGGAGGCAAATTGCTTTTATCCCGTTTTTCCGTCTCATCCAGTAATAGCAGGAGATTCTTGGGGTGATAACCGTGTGATTATAGCTACTGAAGATGGAACGTTTGTTGTTGAAGGTACGATTTCTTCATAATGCGACAATTACTACTTCAAATTCAGGGCAGCAAGATATCTCACTCCGGGAATTCCTCTCTCTATTTAACCTTAGAATGCCGACTTACACTAATTCTCATAAGATAAGATGTTATTATCGATCTATGTAAATAGCATTCAAATAGGTTCTTATATTAATTTGAAGTGAAAGTATTCTTTTGCATTTTGCCTCTATGCTTAGATCACATATTTTCGGGTCCTCTTTTCTCAGTTTAACTTTGTAGCTTATGAATTAAAAGTCCAGAGCTTTGTTTAGTTATTTCAGTCTTGCTTTACTTTGTATTCCTAAAATTCCTGCTTTACCAAATACTACGGTCCAATTAAACCAAAAACTCGACTAAAAAAACATTTGTTTATTAACTTAGAAACATCCAGTCTATCTAATAAAATTTTCAAAAGAAAATTCAGCCAAAGCGAATTTGTTATACCATTCAGTTAGCAAAATAACAATGAAAAATAACAACGCATTTGACCTCTATTATGGGCGGAAAAATACAACGTAAAAGGTAAAAGCAAAAAGCTTCGTTTGTTATTTCGTTGAGGCGAGGAATTTAGAATTTTTCCGAGGTAAGGATATTTTTGTTATCCGAAAGAAAATAGAATAATTTGTTTGTGCTTTGTGCCAGTCAAACGTCAGCTCAACCAGGTGTGTGAACCTGGCAAAAGCTTAAAAATAAGAAGAGAAAATAGCTAACAAAATGATGGTAAAACATGTATCTCAAACACATTAATCTTAAGGAAACGTCTAGCCTAAGGAGGAAAAATTGCTTTCGCTGAATGACCGAAAAGATTTGTAAAGAAACCTATTGAGCGCTTGTACAATTTAATACGGAGGTATATCGCGCTTGTGGCTTGAATTCGTAAAAAAATCTTTCTATGCATCTTCAAAAAATCTCATCTCTTTGTTTAACTGTGTCATCCTAATCAAGATGAGAATTATGTTCCAATTTTAGTACCTGGCTGTAATCAGTACCAAACATTTTGTGATTAAGCCCAAAATTGCGGATTTGGTAGTTCTTACTACCAATGTCAATGTCAATAGATGTAAGAACGAATCATTCCACTCTGTGTGGAATTTACCCCAATTACGAGTAGCTATAGAAAACCCGGGTTTTATATGATTCATAAAGAGTTTTAAATTAATTTCTTCTGTAGCACATTATGTTATTATAAGGGCCGATTCGACAATTCAGGTATATCCCTAGTATAGGCTATACCTAGAATAAAAATTCATTATTGGGTTCTACAATTGCCGTATAACGATATTCGGAGAATAAATTCGGGTATAAGTTATCCGGCCGTTCTCGACCGTATATACTCGGAATAAAGTTATACCTAGTGTCTTTCTATTGGTCGGGGTTGGACTTGATTACCTGAGCTGATACGAATACAAATTATACAAAATTCCAAAATATAAGTGATGTCCTTCTATAGTGCAAACACCACGCAAACACAAATTAATGAAATTAATATAAACACCAACAAAAAAGTTAGTTTCAGTTCACAACTCATTTCTTAAACTCTTGTTGTTTTACCGGCATCTGTCAAAAAAATGGTTGACTCGAGCCACTATCTTCACATCTCTCGGATAATCTCGGAATAACTATACGGCTCTTGCAAAATCATTGTCGAACCGGCGGTCAGATATACTCGGGATAAATCAAGGTATAAGATATTCGGGGTATTACAATACTGAGTTTTATACTGGCATTGTCGAACCGGCCCTAAGTATTACAAATAGTTGATTATTTGAGTTTTAGGAAAAATCAATTCTTCTTGTTTCAGATGGAACCTCTCATCGACAAATTTTTGACAAATCCCTTCAAGTTCGGCAATTAAACGTGGTAGAACCTCACGGCATTATTTTGCTTAGAGCTGGTACCTCAAACAAGGACTGCAAAATCTATGTTTTTCGATTATCGGAACTGGAAACCATTACTGATATCAGAACGAGAATTGATGTGAAAGATCATAGGTTGGAGAAAACTAGAGGAGCGCATTTCTATACATTGTCTAGATCAGGTACCTATAGCTAAATCTAATATTACCTTAATAAAAAGGGTCTATTAAACCAATAAATGGCAATTTATTTTTATGTGGCGACTAACGTTTTATTTGCCATAACATTATCGTCTGGCCCTATAACTTTTTTTTATTAGGTTCTAAAGATTTACGAAACGAGCTCGAAGAAGTCTTAAACGGTGCTCGTATATGAAAATTGGGCAGATATAAATTCGAGAGTGGATTTTGTAAGAGAAATTTAATGCCCATAAACTTCCAAAGATCTAAATACACTCGAATTTGGAATGACCACCGACGGTTTGCCTGAAACCTCTAGTGGAAGTTTCCTTCTGACCTATTTTCCAACTTATTTCAATAACCGATCATTAAACTCTTGAGAGGCATGTATCAAATAAAAGTTTTCGGAAGTTTGAGGCCAATTGCACCTTTATTACATTTTTAGTTGTAGTTGAAGAATTTTTTGAACAGGTCTCGTTTTCGTTTATGAACTTTCTGTTTATTTAAAATCCCTGGCCAGTGGGTAATATTTTTATAAAGAATTCGCTATTCCTAAGGCCATTTATGTGGAAACATTGCTCAACTTGCTCAATATGTCATAACTTCTGACGAAAATTGAAATCTCCTCTGTGGCCAACAGTATTTAGCGATTTATAAAGTGCTTCTACCTGACAGTATGCTCTGATTTGGTATTCTGCTTGCTTTGCACTGGCGAGAACCAATAAGTACGAAACCGATATGTAGTGTCGCGATACGCTTTCCCATGAGACGATTTCGCCACGTTTTCGTAACCCATTTTGGTTGGTCAAAAATGTACCAACCAATTTCGGCACGAAAAACAATGACGTCACGATAACTTTGGTATCCATTTTGGTATGTCAAATTGGGTACCGAGCTTGGAGCACGGTTATTTGAATTGGTAGCTTGCTAACTCTCTCTAATTTGGAGTAATGCAACCTCACTTTTTTGTTTATATTCAAAATTAAACACAACAAATAAACACAATTAATTTTTCTCTATTTCCAATTTTAATTTCCAACAATAAAAAGTATTCAGTAGTTTGTTTATTTTTATTTTCTCAGGCATACCATCACCATCCCGGGCATCACGTCATATACACGTGACATTTGGTAAACCGGCCGATGTCGGCTGAAAATGGTATGCGACGTCACTATTGTGACGAAAAGCCTACCTAGCGGTTAACCAATTTACCTACCAACCAAAACGTGGCGAAATCGAAATACTGTATTATTCGGGCAAAGATATAATCGCGTTAATTCTGGATTTTACAAGAATGGATTACAGATATATAAAGGACGGTATTAGTTTAAGTTTAAGTTTGACTGTGATAAGTTTTAGATAGTGATTATTGGAAAAGTTGTTTGAATTAATTAGTGAAGTAATTAGTGTCAGAGTGTGTAGTAACGGTGAATAAATTATTGTTAGGTTAATTGGACTTTGATTTTGGGATAAACGAACCCAAGATTTCTGTCACGCACCCAAGAGCCGCGACATTGGTGTCAGAAGTGAGATATAATTCGACGACTGCAAAGTGAAATCCGATTGCAGAGTAATGTGGACACTATTTCGGTCACTAAGTGAACACTGGGACAATTAGTAAGTATAAGCAGTGACAATCACAAGAAGAGACTCAACCTATTGCGTAAACAAGTGACGTGACTGTATACCCGATTTTGACTGTGATAGTATATTTTCAAGTTAGTTCTAGAAAATTTTATTCGGAAACCAAGGGAGATATCGAATTTATGACTTCACTGGCGTATTTGATACATCAATCGTCATTTAGAAAAAGAATTTCGAGGAATTTCGGGAAAATTCTCTAACATTATATTTGGAAACTAAGGGAGATATCGAATTTGTGACTTCACCGACGTGTTTGCTGTAGCTTTGTTCCAACCCAGCAGGAAACCGTAATATTACCGTCAGAATTCTGCGCAAAACCCTAAAAGTTTTGCGTAGTAAGCGAAATTTGTATACAGAGTGATTCCGGAACCGTTCTGAGATGTACAATCGACATTCAGAAAAGGCATTTCGAGAAAATTCTAGAATATTTTATTCGAGAATAAAGCAAGTTATCCAATTTGTGACTTCACCGACGTGTTTGGAACTTCAATCAAAAATCAAAATATTTGAAGACAGTTTGAGGGAAAATTCAAAACATTCTGTACCTATATGCCTATAACGAGACAACAAGCAAAGAAGGAAGAACACAAAATTGAAGAACTTCTGCGCAAAATGTTGGAAGTTCAAGAGAACAAACGACAACAAGAAAAGCAAGACGAAGAGGCCAAGCGACATAAAGAAAAACAAGAAGAAGAAGAAGATAGACGACAACAAGAACAGGTTAAACGACAAAAAGGAAAACAAGAAAAAGAAGCAAGCGACAACAAGAAAAACAAGACGAAGAGGCCAGGCGACAAAAAGAGAGGCAAGAAGACATTAGACCACTGCAGAAAATATTTCAAACCATACAAGGATCCGTCGCTTACCTAGAACAATAGATTAAGGAAGTAAAAGCCGAAGTTAAGGACGGTGTTCAAGAAGCTAAAGACGATGTTCGAGTAGTTGAAAACGACGTTCAGGGAGTAAAAGTTGAGGTCAAATCCGATGTTCAGCAATTGAGACAAGAAGTTGAGGACCAAGTTCGAGCACTTGAAGATGAGGTGAATAAATTAGAAATAGAGTCCATCAATCCAGGTAGTGTTGGAGCATCCTTACCAGCATCAAAGTCAGACGTTAGAATTGCGCTTCGGAGAACATTACAGACAAGAAGTATTAGAACTCAAGTTAAATCAAGGATTCAAAACCAGGCGAGAGGTCACAAAACTTCGAATCGTAAATTAAAATGCTAGTGAGTTTGGCGTTTCCTGCAGCTGGGGAAGACATGCAAGAATGGATGACAGTATTTGCGTTTATTGATGGTATCAAAGATTCCAAAATCCAGGGAAACTTGGGAATGTCTAAGTTCAGAAAAAGTAGCGAAGCGCTTGTTCGAGCATTAGAAATGGAAGCTATTTTTGGTGCCTCACGACCCAGAATACGAGCAGTGTCCATTGAAGACCCAAAGGATAAACAATCGTCAAAAGAGGATGATAGCTGCGAGAAAGTTATGAGAAATTTTATGGAGAAAATGAAGAAGCTAGTAGGTACCTACTAGAACTTACACAAATGGGAAACGGCTCCAAACAAACACCAACACCGGAAAACCGAGTAAAATGTTGTATCTGGAGATCTAGAGACGCCAGCCCTGAATATCGACCTAGAAACCTGCATGAATATGCTGACGCTCTGTCTAGACGGCCATGCAAAGAAGACTGCATGCAAGCATCATCAAAAAATCGATATGCCTGAGAAAAACACTGGTCCAGCTGTATGAAGAACGGGTCTTATCATTGATAATAAATGGACTACCAAACAAATGAGAGCGAATCAAGAAGCAGACCAGGACATCGGGCAATTTCTACATCTTAAAGAAAATGATGAATGTAGGCCAGAATGGAGGGAAGTGTCGAACAAGAGTTTGATTTACAAGGCGTGGGTTCAGTAGAACTATCTGACTAAAAATCTACTACGAGTCAACTGGTTATTCCAAAAGATCGAGTAGAAGATATATTAAAAGAAATACATGATGGAACTTCAGGGGCACATTTTGGAGTTAAGAAGACTTTGGACAAAATTCGAGAACGTTTTTACTGGGTTTATTATCATGAATACGTTAAAAACTGGTGTCGAAAATGCGACATCTGTGCCACCAGTAGAGGCCCTAAACTAAGATCTCGGGGACCCATGAAACAGTACAACGTCGGTCTCCAATTTGAACGAATAGCGATGGATGTTGCCGGACCGTTCCCTGAGTCAGAGGGTGGTAACAAATACATCTTGGTTATCATGGATTACTTTAGTAATTGGCCAAAAGTTTTCGCTATTCCCAATCAAGTAGCCACCGCTATTGCAAACTTCGTACACTAGGTTTTCAGTCGTCATGGTGTGCCACTAGATTTGCATTCAGATCAGGGACGAAACTTCGAATCTGCCATCTTCAAGAAAATTTGTGAGATCATGAGTATTCGTACGACGAGGACAACACCTTTACATCCATAGTCTGATGGCATGGTAAAACAATTCAATAAGAGCATAGAGGAACACCTGACAAAAGTGGTAGCAAGGTGTGGGGGCTTCGATAACCCTCAGTGGACTGTAAACTATGTTTTACTTTAAATCAAACAACTTTGATTTTACTAATCAAGTAAAGTGCGACAAGTGAGTGAACCTTGGTAACGTATGAAATAGCAGAGGGGAAGACGAAAACCTATACTATACGACGCGACGGGTTCTCGACGTGGTGCATTGCGAAAATTGCGATTACCCTGACGCGAGGACCCCCGTATATGTATATTTAATCTCGGGCCAATCAGGAGGGTTTTGCCCGCATTCCTTCCACACAGGTTCACTCACTTGTCGCACTTTACAATTGGTTTAATTAACCACAAACGACAAAACTATTTGAGTTGAATTGTTGAATTACAAACTTGTTAACAAAAACTATATTTATGACAAAATAAAATCAATTGGCTTTTGCGCTATGCCAAAATCGTCCTGTTACAACAAGTATTTAACTCACACTGCTCCAAAGGGGTGAAAAACGAATGCCGGGCGGCGATGGCGCCAGGCCCGGCAGCACCACTATTTAGATCACGGACAGAGTCAAATTCGCGGTAAAACCAGGCGTCTGTCTTTGAAAGGCGATTAACCGCACCAACACCGTAAATGTATTTTAACAAAATAGTCCGAACGCAAGGAACCTGAAGATGAACGAAAAAAAATTCAACATTATGCCGACGAAGTAAGGGCACGACTTCTGGGTATACATGAGTTTGCTCGGGAGCATATCCAGCTGGCCAGTGACCTAATGAAGACCAGATACGACTTGAAAGCCAATTCAGCCAGATTTCAAGAAGGTGATCTAGTGTGGCTGTATAATCCAACAAGAAAGAAAGGAGTGTCGCCGAAATTGTCTTCAGCGTGGGAAGGGCCCTACAGAATAGTCAAGAAGATCAATGATTTGATTTATCGAGTTCAGCGCAACACCAGGAGTAAGATGAAAGGACGGTATTAGTTAGTAGTTTGAGTTTAATTTTGGCTGTGATACTTTTTAGATAGTGATTATTGTAAAAGTGGTTTGAGTTAATTAGTGAAGTATTTGTGTAGTAATGGTGAATAATAGTATATTATATAAGTGTGGTAACTAGGTTATTACCGCACGCGAGAGAAATTCGCAAACCGAGCCGGTGAGGCGAGGTTTTTAATCTCTAAGGGCGGAAATAACCTAATTACCATACGTATTATATACAGTATTTCATCTACAACCGTGCGGTAACAAAATATCCGAAAGAAGTTTGAAAAATTATAAAAAAAAAATTGCGTCTGTCACCTTTGACATTACCGCACGCAAAATCGTGTAATATACCTTAGTTACCGCATGCTTGTAGATAAATTATTGTTGTGTTAATTGGACTTTGATTTCGGAATAAACGAACCCAAGATTTCTGTCCCGCACCCAAGAGCCGTGACAGTAGCTAGCGAAGTATCCGAAGAATGGGAGCCCGATTTTCTCTTCATTGTCTTAACAAAGCACACCTACACGTATTACATATTTCTAGCTGTTCTATAAGCAAAACAACCTCATAGTATAAGGGAAATGCAGTGGATTATACACTTAACGGCTGTAGGTACTGTGAATTTTCCATATGGAAAATATTCCGATTAAAATAACAAATATTGTCCTTAAACTTAAGACAAGTTGAGTGTCTTAAAACTTTCGTAATATATTAGTTCCAGATGTTGAAATATATTTCGCAAGTCTGTACTGTTCGGACTTATTGCTCTATCTTATCTGGCAAAACTTAGTTCGAAAGTTCGATAAAAGGCGTACCTACCTAAAGTAACTTGAGAATAAGTAATTTATAGTTTCCTAACGCTGTATTATTTGTAACCGATTTTCAGAACTACTGATGTATATTCTGCTAGTTAAAGTTATAAATTTCTTAACGCTTTTTCCATTAAGCCATTATTATCGAAAGTTACGTGTAACGAGTTCATTTGTCTCTCCCGCAAATAAATTGTGACGATTAAAATACAAGATTGACAAATAGCGGTAATACGTTCGAACAAGAAAAGCTGACAGTGTGGTTAATTTTTTTAAAATTAAAGTATATTATGCAAGTTGAATTGAATATTTGGCTATTTTCCTTTTTGCTGTAGTTATTCTGAAAAAAAATAAAAATATTTCGAATACTTTTACTTAATTATAATATTGGACGAGTCATAACCGCCATCACTCAAAATACAATTCATCGTTAGTATGTCCAAATGAAAAACATCATTTGATAAGATATGATAGTTATCTTATGTTTTGCTCTTTCTCTTTTTCAGATTGTTTTTTTTTTATAAGAACATTCTGTTCTAGGTGGAGCACGTTTAAGAATGTGCGTAGCAATTGGACGAAAACTGCAAATGTTCCAATGGAAACACTCAGCTGCGTGGACCGCTTGGTGTCCAGCTAGCGACACTGACACTATAGAAGGATTTACGTTTTCCTGGGTGAGTTTTATTGCAAAAGAATAAAAGCTTCAATACTACTAATAGGCCAAGCAATGAAGGAAGTTTACCTCAACATAATTAGAAGTTAACATTTTTTGGGGGGGGATCGGTTCATTTTCATGTGCTTAATAACATATTAAGTTTGCGACCTTGTACTTCCATAGGGTTTTTAGTTAGGGGTGGTTTTTAGGGGTAATTTGCGGTTTATGGAGAACGCTGCTCAAAGGGATGGGCCAATAGTAAAAAGCTTCAAATGAATGTTGTAGCTGAAGTTTTTTGCTATAAAAAACTCAGCGACAGGACCCTTCTATTTTCTATAGTTTTTTTTCTGCAGCGTCTTGAATACTAGCATGTTTTTATTCAAGGTCACTGAATCAACGTTTTACCTGTTTGCGCGCGTTTGATGCAGCAGCGGCTAAATGCATAATCCGATTTCAATTTTTCAAACACCACATTATTGCTAATGAAATGCACTCTCCAATGCTTTTTTGTTCGAATTTTTTGCTTGAAAATTAAGCGAGCACCGAGTTGGCTAATGTGCGAGGAAGTTGTAAATTGCATCGAAAACTACCCCTTTCTTGCATTCACTGTAATTTCTAAACGGGGCGAAATATTTGGTGACAGTTTTCGACAATCGGCAGCCCATTTATTCCTCTCATATTGCCCCAGCGGATTTTTTTTCTTTAATTACTCAATGACTTATTGGCCTGAACACGTCGCGCGGAATTTTTCAAAAAGTCGAAAAAAATTAAAATTGTCGCACGGCGCTGAAATTTGGTCGATGGCTTTTTTTATTGTTTTTATGAATATACTGAAATTTTAATTGCTTCACATGACCGCTGCAACCATTAAAATTGCAGTATATTCATGAGAACAATTAAGCTGAAATCTGGAATGCGAATGGAGTGGCTACGTAAATCAGAATAGATCTGGACGGAAATGTTTGTGCGCCACAGATACGAAAGTCGAAGATCAATCATCACTTGTACCTGTGCTGTTTAGTCCCAATCTTACGGTGGCCTCTCGAGCTGTTTCTACAAGACGTTTGTTTCTTAACACTAGTCCAGAGTTCTTATCGTGGCGTATTACTGATCTTGATGCCCTTGTGTCAATAGTCAACTCACATTTTTCGCCGTTGAGGGTGTCTTGGGCAATGAGACTTTTACAATTCCTGATGGAGAACACCCTCAATTTGAGTGGCAGCCTTCGCCCCTTACACTGTATCTCTGATATCTGGAGTCAGTCAAGCTACCTTCTACTCACACAACGCGATGTTCTTAACTGTAACGTCGACCACAGTTTATATTGAGGTGTCCTTCTTGGCGGCAGTTGGTACACCTCATCATAGGGGTCTTAAATCGCCATTTCCGTTCGCGCAGTAATTTTCCGTATCGTGCTCCAAGGAAACTATGCCTACTGTCTCTACAAGTATGTTATAACGTACTTATTTGGCAATTGCCTAATTATACTGCGTACGGCTAGTCAGCATCAATTCGGAGGCCATGGGTTTATAGATTTCCTGTATACATCTTATCTTTGGGCGCAACCAAGTTGATTGTGACTTAACTAGGAAGATTATTTAATTATAAACAAAACCTGTGCAATTGGAGAGCTTAGCAATAAAGCAACTAATTAGGTACAATAATGTATCTGGCTTTCTTTATTAGAAATAATTACAAACCTAAATATGGATAGCCAGGACGTTATTAAAATATGTGTAGATTCAGGCTTGTACCTCTTTTATAAATATTTGAATATATAAAAAAGAATGTAAATATTGTATAGATAAATATGAATTTTAAATAAACATGACTGAAACTGTTTGATATTTACACTTGTGAATGATGAAAAAACTACAGTATTGGTTACACTCTACCAACATGCAAATTTAACACCAGAAAGGTGAAAATTATTGTTAGGGCAACCTCAGGGTAAAATTCTAGAATTTTATTTAAGGGGCACGTACTGAGCGTAATTCAGTGTCAAGTGATTCATATAAGATTTGCCTAAATAGTATAAAGTGCAACTTATATGGTATACAAGTGTTAGTTATCTTCAAATGTATGTGACAACTCAGAAGTTCCTAAAGTGTGGTTATCTGCATGTTTGGTCTCATTGTAGATCCAGAAGCAGTTAGCAGTTCTAAGTTTGTTCCAGACTATGGTATGGTGAGTGAGTCCTACCCACGTTTTATCTGTTTAACGTAGAACTCAACGTGGTTCTATCAAAGTGGTACCAAAAGAGTTGCTGAAGGGAAGCTACGAAAGCCCCAACTAAGAGCAATCTAGATCCAGCCTAGAATCTCCCTAGATGCAACCTAGGAGCTGTCTAGATATAGCCTAGAATCTTCTAAATACAGCCTTTTTTTTTTTTTTTTTTTTTTTTTTTTAAGAGGGGTTTAGGAAATCTGCTGTTCAGACTATCCCCGGCTGGTGTTCTGTCGCCGAGGGGTGTGTCGGGATGGCGTCCTATTCCGAGGAGCGCCGACCGACTAAAACCCTTTCCCCTCTTTCTGCCCGCCGTCCATCTGGAACTGTGTGAACATTACTTCAGATGGTGCGGAGGTGTCTGTCTCAAGTGGGGTATTCCAGAGTGGCTTCACTTTCTTCTTCAATTTTATCTTTCAATATTTCACTGATCATGGTCTTCACGGTGTCCCAGTTCTGTTTGCTACTAGTCATTAATTCTATGATGGTTTCCGGCATAATGGGACCAGTCTCGTTTGTGCAGGTAACACGTTGCGCACTCCACCGAGGGCAGTGGAAGAACGTGTGTTCGGCATTGTCTAACTCCCCACAGTATACGCATTCATCATCCGGGGTCTTGTTAATCCCATATGTGTACTCCCGGAAGCAGCCGTGGCCCGTGAGAAACTGGGTCAGGAGGTAGTCTGTCTCACCGTGCTTTCTATCCGTCCACGTTTTAATATTGGGGAGCAGTTTATGTGTCCACCTGCCCTTCTTACTATTATTCCATCTGGCTTGCCATTCTGCCATGGTAGTCTCGTTTGCGTCCCGACGCGCAGTGTCCTTCATGTGTGTCGCAGCCTGTGCCACATGTATGGCCTGTCTAACAAGGAGGTCCATCGGGGGCGTTTCTGCTATTACCAGGATCGCATCAGTCGACGCGGTGCGATACGCGCTACAGATGCGCAGTGCCGCTTGTCGTTGTATCCTCGTATGTATGTTGCGGGTCTTAGCGATATTCATGGTGTGACCCCAGACGGGTGCCGCGTACATAAGGATGGATCTGGCCACAGAGCATATCAGTCTGCGCTTGTTCGGGTCGGGGCCGCCTATGTTGGGCATCAAACGTGCGAGGGCCGCCATGGCATTTCCCGCTCTCGCGGTCGTGTTTTTAATATGGGGGACGAAGGTGAGCCTGCTGTCCAACCAGACGCCCAGGTACTTGATCTCAGTTTTCGGCGGGACAGTTCTTCCCATAATGTTTAGGTCTCTATGTGGTACTATTCGTTTGGAGGTCAGGATGATCGCCTCAGTCTTGTCCTCGCACAGCTCTAGCTGGTTTTCTAGGAGCCATCTTTTTATGCTAGGTATTGCCTGGTTTATCTTTTTCTCCGCCTCGTCTATGCTCTTGGCCAAAACAATCAACGCGACGTCATCCGCGTAGCCGATAAGGGTCACTCCCCTGGGTTGCGGTAGGTTCAACAGTCCGTCGTAGAGGATGTTCCACAGGGTTGGCCCCAGGACGGAGCCCTGTGGGACGCCGCAGGACATGCAGAAGGCCTCCCTTCTGCCTTCCGCCTCCAGAATCACGTTCCTGTCCGTGAAGTAGTCCATGATGATGTTTGTGATGTAGGGCGCGGTGCCTCTCTTCTCTAGTTCCTTTACGATAGCTTGCCATGAAGCAGTGTTAAAGGCGTTCTTTACATCAAGAGTGACCGCTATGCCAATCTCTCTGTGTCTGATACTTCTCTTGTATAAAGCAGGTCTGATAGTATCTAGCACCTTCAGAATTGCCGTTGTTGTGGACATACCCTTTCTGAATCCGAACTGCCTCGCGCTCAGTGTTTCTGACAGGTTTAGGTCTTCGTGTAATCTAGCCAGTATAACGTGTTCTAGAAGTTTGGCTCCTGCGTTTAAAAGGCAGAGTGGTCTGAATTTTTGCGCCTCGTTTTCGTTCTTTTTGGGCTTCTCCATAAGCACCAACTTTGCTTCTTTCCACACGCGGGGGAATATCCCGTCAGTCAGCGAGGACTTCAGAGGCTTTATGAGTAGGTTGGGTTCCTTCGCTGCTACCACTTTGAGAATTTCAGCTGGTATGCCATTTATGCCAGGGGCTTTGTTTGGCTTTAGTCTGCTGGCCGCGAATGTAATTTCAGCTATTGTTATTTCCGGGACCTCCGCCTCACTGTGGTGCAATTTGTTCCAGGCGTTAAGTGGTCTGGTCGGAAACAATTCCTGAGCAACCTCCTTGGATTTTGCCATTGTTAGAGCTCTGCGCTCGCTCGTGACCCTCAATCTTCTTGTCGCAATTCTATAACCATCGCCCCAGCAGTCATCATTAATCTCATCGCAGAGCTTCCTCCAACATTTCCTTTTAGATGCGTTAATGGCTATTTTAAGTTTTTTCCTGAAGTTAGAATAGTTTTCTCTGTCTTGGTTTGATCTAGTCGTGTCTTTCCGGTTGTTTCTGGTCATTTTCCTTTTAAGGGTGAGGCAGGTCTTCCTGAGTGCAGCAATATCGTCGTTCCACCAGTATGCTGGTTTCCTGTGATTAGTGTGTGGGAATTTCTTGGGCATTGACGCGTTGCATATCTCCGCGAGGGACTCGTCTAGTCTCTCAGCGGATCCCGGGGGTGAGCGCCTTGTAGCCCTGGTGATTGCCTCATTAAGCTTCTCTTGGTTGATCTTTCTTGTGTTCCAGCTCGGTCTGGCTTCGACGGTGGGCGGGGTATTTGTGCCTTCCTCTAACTCGAAGTATACGTATCTGTGGTCGCTCAAAGACTCCAGCTCCAGCACCCCCCAGGCTTTGATCTT